AAAAAAAAAAAAAAAAAACCTCAAAAACAACTTCATAACATCATAACAAACCCAGGAAGCGATTCAAAACCAATTGCACTTTAAAAATCAGAACTCAAAGTCCTTCTGCTTCATCATCATTACCCAATAGGTATCTAGGAGGCAACAGATACAGTAACTTAGAAACTTCAGAGGCAAAGTTGAAAACTCTGCCTTTCTCCTACATGGGTTGGTTGGTTTGTTTTCAGCTTATTTCAGACCAATGAGCTTTGAATTTATTACAGCAAGTTTTAGAAGGCTGAGAAGCTGCCTTTCTTGGTTCTCTGTCTGTGATTCATTTACTCATTCAACAAACATTAACAGAGTGTGGCAGGGTAGAAAGAATCAGCCAAAAAATGGATCTGAACTCTGTCTCCACCAGTGAGTAGCTGTGTCACTTTTGGTAAATTACTTAACTTCTCTAATATCAATTTCCTAATTCATTAATTCTTATGTCAACAACTGCCCACTTGCCTAATAGTTCTGTTGAAGATGAAAAGTATAATAAATATGTCTGGCACAGAGTTGATGCTCAATAAATTTAGTCCTCCTGCCTGCCCCCCACCTCGCCTTTTGTAAGCACCACAAAAGCTACTGTGACAGACACAAGGATGAATTAGGCAGAGCATATACTGCAGAGAGGTATAAACCAGAGAGGGAGGTAGACAGGTGTGAAAATGTAACAAACGTTACAGAGTGGGTGTTACCCAGTTGTCCAAACAGCATGTTGGGCACTAGGGAATGAGGGTGTTCTCTTTGATGTTCTTTCCAGTACGTGGTAGGGAAGACAGATACCCTCAGACTGGCCCTTCTGACCTGAAACATATGGGACACGCTCTCACGACCGACACATCCAATGCAGACTGACGCACCTCAGGAAATCCAGCTGCTTCAGAAGCCCTGACTTCTCCCGCTGCAGACTCTCCATCACACGGTACACTTCCCTGTGGGAGAGGCAAACAGCGGTGGTGAGTGACAGCCCTGGGGAGGGAAGCTACCAGGATATGAGACTGCACTGTGCCCAAGTTAGATGCCCAGGACATCTGCCTTACGCTAGACACAGAGGGAGTTAGAGGATAAAAGTCATCCTCTAGAGAACACCTACTATGTGCAGGTGTTTATACCCATCATCACAGACAGTATTTAGAAGGGGAAATTCTCCCATTGCATAGACATTGACAGTCCAAAAGTTTCAATAGCCCTCTCAAGATCACAGAGACAATTCATAACCAAGGCAGGGCTCTCACCTACACCTTCTACTCCCAAATTCTTCTCATTCCATGACCACTTCATGCTGCCACCCAGGAGCACTGCTAGATCATAACTGCACTGTTTCCCTCACCTCCAAATGATCCTGCCCGATCCAGGCTTCAAGTGAGTTAGAATCAATATTCTTCTCCAGCTTGATCTCAGAGGGTGTGCAGAACCAATATATTTTTTCCCCTAGATGCCAACTTAGTTTGTTTTCAAGAGTTCTGGGAGAATCTTTTCCCCTTCTCCATCTCCCCTCAAAAATCCCCAGTCACTTCACAGATATCTGGAATTGTCACTGTCAGACATTTGTTTCTTTGGCTAAAGATTTCTGATCTCTGTGGTAACGCAGAGCCTTAATATATCAGTTATACACAGTCATTAAGATCATATGTGAATGTATCATGCTTATCAGGAGTTTTGAGGAAAGAGACAGCGAAGCTGAGAAGACTGGAGAGCAATTTGGCCTTAGAGGTGGGGGCTGTTCCTGGTCTGTTTACATCTATAACCTCAACACCGTGCCTAGCAAGGGGGTGTAGTCAGTACACAGCTGCAGAAAAAATGAAGGAAAATGAAAGAAGGAAGGCAAGAAGAAGAGACAGAAGGAATAAGATGGGAAGGTATTCAGCACCACCAAGGAAAGAGATAAAGCAGGAATTGAGTGAGGTTGGAAAACAAACTTTATTTAATTTCTCAATTCTGCCTCAATCCCTCCCTCTGTGTTCTGAACCATGGTTTAGAAGTTTTAAAATCACCCCCTATGCTTACTACAAAGCCTGATAAATGTATTGCTTACCACAGACTGTCGGGGCTGATTGGACTGCACACACACTGGCGGAGTGAGGACAGTCACCCCTCTGTCACTAACAGTGTCATTACAGAGTTGGTAAAAACAGCACCAGCATGCTGGGCCTCTAGGACTCTCCCACCAAGCTCATAATAACCTGCTTCCTTAAGAGGTATCTGTGTGTTTTTTTCTTTCCTTTATAGGATAATTATAAAGTCAATTTATGACAATAACAGACTAAATCAAATTCTAAGTTCACCTCAAACAATCCTAATTAAGCAACAAAACTTCTCTGGCTCCTGCAGTGCTGAAAATGCCTTCCATTTTATTACCCATTATATTTAATTTCAACTTGAGGGAAGACAATGTATTTCCCATTATCCAAACTGGGTCCCCAAACCCTTTCCTAGGACTCTGCTCAGATTAGCACTACGTGAGCATCAGCGGCACTGTCTCCTGACTCTATACCCAGGAAGATGAAGATTGCCTGTGCCTTACTTTATGGTTCCCCTAACCCAACCCTAGACCTGCTTCCCTCTAGGGGCAGCTGGGAGCAGACAGCTTTTCCCTGGCTATAGAAATTCACTCATTGGAGACCAACTGTCTGGCTTCTTACTGAGCGACTGAGTAGCCAGTTCCTTAATAATGAAGTGCTCCAGGTATTCTCTAGACCTGTCTATACAACATCAAGCCAACCATTGGAGCTATGCAAGTAGTCACAAATACACATATATGTTGTTGTTAAGTGCTGTCCAATCAATTCCCGGGAGCTCTGGTAGTGTAGTGTCTAAGGCACTTGACTGCTAACCAGAAGGCTGGCAGTTCAAACCCACCAGCCACTCCTCAGAAGGAAGGTTGGACAATCTAATTCCATAGAGATACCGCCTCAGAAACCCAAGGAGGGGTCGCTATGAGTTGGGTCTGACTCCATGGCACATAACAACAACAACAACAGCCAATTCCAACTCTTTCTCCCATAGGGTTACCTTGGCTGCAATCTTTACAGAAGCAGGTCAACAGATCTTTCTCCTGCAGAGCTGTTGAGTGGGCATGAATTACTACCTTTTGGTTAGCAGTCAAGCACTTAACCATTGAGCCATCAGGGCTCTCTCTCTCTCTCTGTATCTATCTCACATATATTTGTAAATACATATGTATATACATACATGCAAGGAACACTGGTGGTGCAATGCCTAAGGTATCTGACTGTTAATCAGAAGGTTGGCAGTTCAAACCTACCAGCCACTCTGCAGAAGGAAGATGGAGCAATCTACTTCTGTAAAGGTTTACTGCCTTGGAAACCCAATGGGGATCACTATGAGTTGGAATCTACTCAATGGTAGTGGGTTTGGGTTTGGTTTGTTTTATATATACATACATAGTTGGATGCACACATGTTTGGATAAGCATATCTCTAGATAAATTGTTATACAAATATATATTCAGATATTCGACCAAAAGAAAAGCATTTCTGAAAAAAAAAAAATGACTTTGCAAAAAACACTATAAAGTCAATGAAAAGACAAGCCACAAACTGAGAGAAAATATTTACAAAACATTTCTGACAAAGAACTTGTATATAAAATATAGAAAGAATTCTTAAAACTCAACAAGAACACAAACAACCCTATTAAAAACTGGACAAAAGATCTGAACAGAAACCTTGCAAAATAAGATAAACAAATAGCAAACAAACATATGAAAAGATGCTCAAATTCATATGTCACTGTTGTTGTTGTTGTTAGGTGCCATCGAGTTGGCTCCAACTCATAGCTACCCTATATACGACAGAATGAAACACTGCCCAATCCTGCACCAGCCTCACGATCCTTGCTATACCTGAGCCCATAGTTGCAAGCACTGAGTCAATACATCTCATTGAGGGCCTTCCCCTTTTTTGATGACCCTCCACTTTACCAAGCATGATATCCTTTTCCAAGGAACGGTCCTTTCTGATAACATTACCAAAGTAGATGAGACAAAGTCACTTCATATGTCACTAACCAAACCAAAAACCAAACTCACTGCTGTCGAGTCAGATCTGACTCATAGTGACCCCTCCTTGGGTTTCTGAGGCAGTATCACAACTGAAGTAGATTGCCCCATCTTCCTTCTGAGGAGTGGCTGGTGGGTTTGAACCACCAGCCTTCTGGTTAGCAGTCAGATGCCTTAGGCACTATGCAACCAGAGCTCCTTCGTATGTCACTTTGTTGTTGTTGTTAGGTGCCGTCGAGTCATTTCCAACTCATAGCGACCCCATGCACAGCAGAACAAAACACTGCCCAATCCCACACCAGCTCCATGATCCCTGCTATACTTGAGCCCTTCATCACAGCCACTGTGTCAATCCATCTCGTTGAAGGCCTTCCCCTCTTTCATTGACCCTCCACCCTACCGAGCATAACATCCTTCTCCAAGGAATGGTCCCTTCTGACAACATGACCAAAATAGGTGAGACGAAGTCTGGCCATTCTTGCTTCCAAGGAGCATTTTGGGTGCACTTCCTCCAGGACAGACCTGTTAGTTCTTTTAGCAGTCCATGGTACTTTCAGCATTCTTTGCCAGCACCACAACTCAAAAGCATCAACTCTTCTTCAG